ATCTTTCTTTTATTCAGTCATTCATTTAAAAGTATTTATCAAATGCTTATGATGTGCTATGCATTCTTCTAGATCTTGGAACCTACAGTAAGGAGAAAAAAATCTAAAAAGCCCCATCCTTTATAAAAAATTATGTATATATGGCTGTGCCATTATGGATACCATTATTTATTTTATTTTATTTTATTTTTTATTTTTTTAAACCAAAAGCAAGATGGACATTTATACTTTTTTTTTTTTTTTTAAAGATTTATTTATTTATACAAGCAGTGGTACAGTCAGAGGCACGGGAGGGTGAGAGAATTCACCAGAGTCAGAGTGGAGAGTAGAACAGGCAGATTGACGAAGTACAGTGCTGAGGGGAGCAGCGGGCGGCAGGAGGGGTCTGCGCGCCTTGTGGGACCCTCACCCAGCAGCCGGGGCCAAACTGGCGCTGCAGAGACTGCGGGCAGCTTCGCAACCCAGCACTCAACTGCTGTGCCACCGGGGAGGCCCTGGATACCATTTTTTAGATTTGCCAACTTGGGAAGAGAGTAGGGAAGGATTTTTTGAGCACTACATAGTATGTCAGGCTCTTCCATTTAATGCTAGAACACTTCTGACATAGCTATTTTTATCTCCATTTTATAGATGGAAGTAGGTAAGTTGTCCAAATTCAGTGGATGATAGCTGGGAAATGAATCCTTTCATTTTTCAAACTGCGGTCCACAGCCATCCTGCCTTATTATCACCAAGCCTTCACCAAGCTGGGGATCAACTGAATCTCTGGGAGAGGTACTGGGACTCCATTTTTAAAAGATGTCACAAGTTATTTTATTTTTATTTATTTTATTTTTATTTTTTAAATTAAAAAAATTAATTTTTATATTCCCCATACAATACAATTGCACCCCCCTTATTTTGGCCCCAATCCCTCCTTTCCCTGCCTCCCCACCTCCCGTAGTTTGTTTCTGGTTTATAGTTATTTGTTGATTTTGATTTTTTCTTTCTTATAGTTATTCTTTTTCCTGGTCCCTTATTTAGGTTTTTTAGATTCCTGCTGTGAGCGAGACCATCCGGTATTTTTCTTTTTCTTTCTGGCTTATTTCTCTGAGCATGATCCCTTCCAGCTCCATCCATGTTGCTGCAAATTGCAGGAGTTTATCTTTTTTTGATTGCTGAGTAATATTCCATTGTGTATATGTACCTCATTTTCTTGATCCAGTCATCTATTTTTGGGCATTTGGGTTGTTTCCAAAGTTTAGGTATTGTAAATAGTGCTGCTATAAACATAGGGGTGCAGCTGCCCTTGGGAATTAATGTTTCTATGTCCTTTGAGTAAATACCTAGGAGTGGTATTGCTGGATCATAAGGAAGCTCTATCTTTAGTAGGTTGAGGAATCTCCACACAGCTTTCCATAGTGGTTGGACCTGTTTGCACTCCCACCAGCAGAGCAGATCTGAGAGTTCCTTTTTCTCCACATCCTCACCAACATTTGTTGTTGCTAGTTTTTTTAATATGTGCCATTCTTACTGGTGTAAGATGGTATCTTATTGTTTTGATTTGCATTTCCCTGATTACAAGTGATATTGAACATTTTTTCATATACCTGTTGGCCATTTGCCTTTCCTCTTTGGAGAAGTTTCTTTTTAGCTCCTCTGCCCATTTTTTGACTGGATTATTTTCCTTGTTTTTGTTGAGTCTCATCAGCTCTTTGTAGATTTTTGTGATCAGTCCTTTATCATTAGTGTTGGGTGCAAAAATATTCTCCCAGTCAGGGGGGTTTCTCTTTGTTTTTGTTATTGTCTCTTTTGCTGTGCAGAAGCTTTTTAATTTGATATAGTCCCAGCTGTTTATCTTTGCCTTCACTATCACTGCTTTGGGTGATGCGTCTGTAAAGATGTCTTTGAGGTGCATGTCATGCAGTGTTTTGCCTATATTTCCTTCTATGTATTTTATGGTTTCAGGTCTTATGTCTAGTTCTTTATTCCATTTTGCATTGGTTTTTGTGCATGATGTGAGGTAGTAGTCAAGTTTCATTCTTTTTCATGTAGTGACCCAGTTTTCCCAGCACCATTTATTGAACAAACTTTCTTTGCTCTAGTGCATATTCTTTGCTCCCTTGTCAAAGATTAGTTGACCATAATCTATGCGTTTATTTCTGGGTTTTCTATTCAGTTCCATTGGTCCGTGTGTCTGTTCTGGTTCCAATACCATGCAGTTTTGATTATTATGGCTTTGTAGTATAGTTTGAAATCTGGGAGAGTGATGCCTCCATTCCCTTCTTTTTTTTTTCAGGAGGGTTTTGGCTATTAGGGGTTTTTGGTGGCTCCTTATGAATTTCATCAATATTTTTTCTATTTCTTTGAAGAATGATATTGAAGTTTTAATTGGAATAGCTTTGAATCTGTAGATTGCTTTTGGTAGGATGGCCATTTTGATAATGTTAATTCTTCTGATCCATGAGTAGGGGATGTCTTTCCATTTCTTTGTGTCTACTTCTATTTCTTTTAACAGTGTTTTACAGTTTTCTTTGTATATGTCCTTTACTCCTTTTGTTAGGTTTATTCCCAAGTATTTGATTTCTTTTTGTTTCAATAATAAAAGGACTATAACACATTCTTCAATTTCATTTGCACTATAACACATTCTTCAATTTCATTTGCCAAGAAATAGAAGAACTTAGACATTCAAATTAATATCCCTTAATTATGAGCATAAAGATTCATGCAGGAGGTGGATGCCATATTCAGGACTCTGCAAATCACTCCCAGTGAGGAAATCGTATTGGGGGTCATGGGCTTATCATGCTAGTTTTCTGTCAGAGGCCAACTTTTCCACTTCAGAATAAAAAGGCAATTGAGAATAAGTACAGGGCAGGTATGACATCTAACTTGTAGCAAGGAGAAAAGGTACATGTTCTGTGGGCTTTAGACTGAATTTTTATATAGATCTTATTACAAGTTGGTTGGGAGTCCTAGGAATTATAGTTAAACTTGGTCTGGACACCTAATCACTCTGCATTTAGGGAAACATCAAAATGTGGCTCCATATTTATTGAATTAATGAGTGAACAAGTGAATGAATAAAAAAAATGGTTTCCAAGTCAAGATGTGAAATAGATACACGGAGATAGGGTCTGAAGTTTGGGGGAGAGGGGTCAGGTGCTAAAGATGTAAGTATGTGTTGTTTCAAGAAAAATTGGGATGCATGATGATATTAATGGTGATGGTAATTTTGATGGTGACAACAAACCATGATGCATAATTATTGGTGACATTTTTTGTACATAACCTTTCTATGCATATGTATTAGAAAAGATAAAATCCATACTGTGTACATAATTTATACTATTCTGTTTTCAGTTATTTGTGACTACTTTTCACTGCCACTACATATTCATTTACATTATTTGAAATGATGGTGAGTTAGGTCGTTGCATACCTTTAGCATAGTTATTTGTTTCATATTTATTGTTCAAAATTCAAATTCAGTTAGAGTTTTGAAATGGACTTCTCACATGACAAATTTTGTGCATTTTTTTTAGGATAAATTTTCTAGAAGTACAAATGATTAAAAATGATCAATGAGCATTGCCACACTGCCACTCAAAAATTGGCTCCCCTTAATAATGTATGGCAGGGCCTCCCCGGTGGCGCAGCGGTTGAGCGCTGGGTTGCGAAGCTGCCCGCAGCCTCTGCAGCGCCGGTTCGATCCCCGGCTGCTCCCCGGCCACTGGAGGAGGGTCCCACATGGCGCACAGACCTCTCCTGCCGCCCGCTGCTCCCCTCAGCATTGTACTTCGGTCCTTCTGCCTGCTCTGCTCCCCGCTCTGGCTCTGGTGAATTCTCTCACCCTCCCGTTCTTCTGACTGTACCCAGTGCTTGTATAAATTAAAAAAAAAAAATAATGTATGGCAGGGCTTTCTTTTCCATATCAAATATTACCTTTTTCTTTCCTTTTGCATCTTTTTCTTTTCTGACAGTCCCCTGTTGCCATTATCTTTATTTAAGGGGGAAGAAACTTAATTTTTACTAAGACTTGGAAACTTTTTATCACTGTGCTCATTGGTAACAAATTAATGAAAACACAAGTGGAGTCACATTTTCCAGGAACCATGAATTGGATCTTTCAAAAATATCTTACTTTAAATTCTTGAAGACGGAAATTTTATACAACAAACATTAAATGTTACCCATTCAATCACAACAGGCTTTTATTGTCTGTACAGTCAAATGATTAAAAGGTCTCTCATGTATGTGTAAATCTGCCGATGACATAAAATACAGAAGGGCACTAAAATAAAACAGAAACATATTTGAGTAAGCCTAAGAGATGGAAAAATTTGAAAAATATGGATTTTTGTGTATGTTCCTTAGAAATATTTGCTATCTTTCACTCGTGTGTCCTATCTCTCTCATTTTTTATAATTATATCTCATATTTAGTATTTAAATAAAAAATGTTTTCCCTGGGGCTAGCAATAAAACTAAGTTAATGTCGCAAGATAAGGTTTTTATCCTCTTTTCATGTATGCCTTTCCTCTCCTTGTTGGAAAAAAATACTCACCTGTGGTTCTGACGAGCTGCACTCTCATTTTCAAACAGGTCAGCACTGCAAGTGATAATCCCAGTACTGAAGATGATATGTAAGGCAATAAACTCCTGTTTCATAAACAGTGAGACATGAAACCTGAGTGCTTGTGACAGCAGGAGACATTTACTGAAGAGTGACAGGTTCAGCCACTCTGGGAATGCTATGTGAGCAAACAAAGGAAGATTATCAGACCAAAGATGTGAAGATTTTTCTTTACTCTTGAAAGAATTTTGTTTTGTAGGCAAAATCTGAAGAAATACATTTAAAAACAGAATCAGTAAGCAATGGAGATTTTTATTACACAAAAGAACTGGGTGAGATGTGTTTCCAAGGCAGAAATTCAGATCCACCCTGAGGGGAAAAAGCAGGTGAACAGGTCTCTGGATTCAAAGGCCTGTCATTCTCTGAGGGGAGCCAGCAGCTGGATTAGTTCCTCTGACATACACATAATTGGTTTGTGTTTTATACAGGTAGGAATACTGTAAAGAAATGTATACATTCCCATTTCTGAAAAATGTTCAGTTTTGTTTTTATAGATAAGAGTATAAATAATTATCTCACTTTCCTGCAAGCCTTTTTTTTTTTTAAAAGATTGATTTTATTTATTTATGCATACAATAACTGGGATGTAAGCCAGAGATTCAGGGGCATGAGAGGAATTCACCAGGGACAGAGTGGGGAGCAGAATAGACAGACTGAAATACACTGCTGAGGGGAGCGGTAGGCGAGACAGGAGAGGTCTGCTGTGCCATGAGGGTTAGCTTCCTGACTGAGGATGGAACTCATGCAGCTACAGTGGCTGCCCATAGCTTCATAGTGCTGAGACTTAACCCCTTGCACCACCAGGGAGGCCCCTCCTCCTAACTTTTGTACTAAAATGAGAATAATAGCGCAGTTAATTTTTCAGTATGATCTGCAGTAGGGAGTAGAGGGGGAGATTGTGGTAATATGGACAATACAAATAAAGTAATTATACAAATAAAGTAAATGCAGATTTAATTCAGAGTAATCCTAAATTTTAAATCTTTGCAAATTAAAAAAAATTACATATAGCACATGCCAATAATGTATGGTACATATAAAACATGTCTGTTTTGCTCTCTATGGTTTGTAGTACATTTCATATAAAATGTACTTAATAATTCCTGATTTACAAGATAGACTCATGATGTGGAACCAATTTTTTTCCTTAAGTTGAAGATTAAACTTACTCTCTAGCTATAAAGAAATAGCTAAGCAGATTTTGCTCATCAGAGAGTCTGTTAATTAAATTGGTGTTAGTACAGTGGAACTCTAAAATGGCCTTTGATAATTACTTTTTAATTAATTGTAGCTTTACCTGCAGTTTCTTAATTTAAATATTTCAGCTACATGTGATGATTTTATTAAAAAATGTTATTTTTATTAAAAGATGATAAATGGTGGTGTTTCCAGGCTTAATCTGCCAGTAAATTGTTCCATAGCATAGAGAGCAACTGATCAAGAACTGATCAAGGACAGTGTTTCTTATTCCACATTTCATCATTCTTAAAAAAAAAATTGTGGTATAGTTCACATATAGTACTATCCAGTAAGTTTCTATGTTACTACCCAGCCAATCACATATAGGGTATTTCCATATATCCAGAAATTGTCCTATGTCCTTATGAAGTGAGTGGCTTCCATTTTATACCACATCAGAAAATCCCTCATCAATTTCATGCCCCTGTGCTGTCTTTGCTGTCATTGCGCATGGTAAACCAGGCTGCTAGGAACACCTGTGTAGAAGTGTTTGCATGGACATATTGTTTTAGTTTCTTTTGAGTAAATAAAGAGAATGAACTTGGTTATAGAGAGTATATCTTTAAATTTATAATTAGCAAACTGTTGACCTATTTTATTTTTTTCAGTGCTACTGGCAATGTTTGAAGCTCCAGTTGTTTCAAGTCTCTATCGACACTCATCAGTATCATCGGTCTTTTTAATTCCAGCTATTCTACAAGGTGGGAGGCCATAGTGTGTAGTGCTTTTCACTTCGACTTCCCTGGAGGCTAATGATATTAAGCATCTTCTCAAGCACTCACTTGCAGTTTTCGATATTGATTAAGGCGCATTTTCAGGTCTTTTGCCCTATTTTTATAAAGTTGTTTGCTCTTTTTTGGAATTCTTTATAGATAATACCTATTACCCTTTTTAAACATATATGCCTAATATAGTCCCTGCCAGTTTATCATTTTCTTTTCCATTTTCCTGATGGTATGCTTGGGAGAAATGAAATTTGAATTATGATAAGATTTTGAAGATATTGAGTCAAGCGATCCATCAATATGGTAAATATCTTCATTTATTTAGACATTTTAATTTTATTCATCAGTATTTAATATTTAGTAGCTTAATAGGTTCATGAGAGGTATGGAGCATATTTTTTTACGTGTTTGGCATGTGTGAGAAGAAATTCTGAGTGAACATCTTACCTTACCAGATGTGATACAGACATTAAAAAATAATGTGTAAGTATAAAAACCAAAAGGTTTTTAAGTCTTAGCTAGTAAGAAAGTTTGTAGCAGAAGAATTGATCCTTAAAGTCATTATGAGGACAAATGAACCATTCCTCATTTGTGCCTTGTAGCTGAGTTTAGTGAAAAGCTGAGTAGTAAGCATTTAGCTTTTGGCAAGCCTCTGACACCGCTAAGTGTTTTCTGAAAATATTTCTAAGTGAGATGGTGGCACCAATATACAAAAGCAGTGAACTGTTTCTGACTATATGAGACAGGAGAAAGAGCTTGAGTACTGATGACAGTGATAACTCCAGTATCTCAGACCAGCAAGGTAGAAAAGAAATACTTTTTCCCCTCTTTGGATTTAATCCAATTAAGGGAGTTAATGCCTGTACCTATCTTTTCTATATCATAAGGAGTTACTGCCACTCAACTTGATCCAAGGCAGATTTGGCATGGCTTTTGGCTGGTTTCCATATCTCATATTTCTGGTAATAAGATTATTGACGAGACCTCAAGTGCATTGCAAGGGATGTGTGACAGTTCCAGACTGAGACAAGATGCTGCCGTTCATGAAATTTGTAATGTTTTCATAGAATAATTATATAAGGCAACCCTCTCCTTTGAGAATCCTTTTATATATTGCTTTCATACCCACAGAAGCTAGTTTCCAGGTAGATTGGCATCCTCTTTTTATGCTTTTCTTTATTTCATGGTTGTTTTGTCTTGGCACTTCCCATGTGCAATCAGAAGCAGAGTTAGTGCTGAAGGACAGAGATCAGAGAAAAGTTTATTTATTTTTTATAAATGCCCATTGTAAATGGGAAAGCATACTTTAAAATAAATTTGATGAGCTCTGGACTAAAAGCATTGCAGTTGTAAGTAGGAAGCTTTAAATGCTGTGTTAAGTCAAAGCTATAGTAAGACTATTTGAATAGATAATATTAAAAATAAAATATAAAAGGAATGGTATAAGAAAGCACACAATTCCAGTTTAGAATGGTTACACATGCTTTGCCAAGCTTGAAAGTTTAAAAACAAAACAAAATGGGGAACCCTAAGGTAGATAATAGGCAACATTAAGTGAAATACCTCACAAAAGCTATACTGATACAAGTGAACAAAAGACATGTGCTATTCAGGCATAACAGAATTGCGTTTGGGTGATCTCAAATTTATTACAAACAGCCCATCTCAAGATTCTCTTGTCTATTCACATTATGTTCAGTTTAAAAACTATTAACACCAGGTACCACCCCCCAAGGAAAATATATTTGCTGAGTGTTAAGGTAGAAAATGGGAAAACAGTGCATCTATCACCCTATTCTTATTTCCTGGCGGTGGCTGAAGCCGAAAGACTGTTACAGGTGATGCACCCTGGAAGGGTGTTGCTGGTGAGGATAGATAGCCCCAGGGAAAATGCTAAAAAGTAGGGTAGGGTGACAGATAAGTGACCGCAGAAGGGGGCAAAAAGGGAGGCTTCGTGATTCAGTGTTTCAGGATTCAGTGTTTAGATCTCGAGCATTTTGGGGTCAGGGGGTTTGGGCCCTCACCGTGCCCATCTTCGAGAAGGCTCTTGCAGTCTGGCAGAGAAGATGAAGCCCGGGGAGTATGGTTGTCTTTCGACAACTGTAGCTGCTGTTTGAGAGAAAAAGTTCAGAGGCTTTGCAAGTAGTCGAGTGACTGAAACCGTTTTCTGGTTTTGCTGCTGTTGCAGCCTGGCGGAGAAGGCAAAGACCCAGGCCAGGCATATTACTGAGATGTGTGAGTGTGATGGCTTATTGGGTCATTTGACCACTGTAGCTGCTGTTTTGCGTGTTGCTTGTCTGGTGCTGTGCTGGGGCATTTCTGCAGCTCATGGAGCATCTCCTGTTGTATCTGCTGTCTTTGTGAGTCGGAACCTGGCCTGTAGTCTGGCTGCTGCATGTCCATAGTGGCAGGAAGATGCCATCTTGGACGTGTGGCCTATTGTTCAGGAGAGGAGCTCTGTGTCATCATTGATGGGAAGATACCATTTTAGCTGCTTTTGTGCAGGACTGAAATATACCGGACACGGCTTTGGGTGAGGTAAAGGGCATTTTTTGGGCCTTAGTAAGTCTGTTTTTTCCTAGTTTGTTAAATCCCTTTGTTGTTTTCTGAGCCTGAGTAATCTTGCAATTGTGAGTAAAGAACTCAGACAGAGACCGATAAACTATTTGGGCAGTGTTCTTGGCCAGTTTTAGTGTCCCTTGCTGCCCTGTTTTATCATTGTTTGACTGATTTTTGTAAGAGATGTTAACATTGGTCAAATAATCTTCTGAATAACAAGAGGGTCCTTGAAGATATTCCAAGACATAAAAATCACACTTCTATGCTGTCGGACAGAGTCCAGTCTAATGCTGATTGGTCCTCCCTCCTTAAGACTGATACTTGGAAAATGAACTTATTTTAGTATCTTTAAGATTCATTCAAAGTGATTCACAAGCTTAAAATGAAATCATTTTTTTGAGCTAGCCTTCACGTTTTTTTTGTGCCACATTATCTTTGATTCATTGTTCATTGTAAGCCCAAGATACTCAGGTTTTAAATCCAAAACATAGCAATCATTTTGCTTTTTTCTTCTAGGGACAAAAGAACCCCTACAATGATATTTTACTTGGTAAAATTCTCCTACCAAATTTCATTTTTGTCTGAGTTTCCCAAATTTATTTTTTATTTTTGTCTGAGCTTCCCAAATTTAGAATCTTGAGGAATATTCTATAATGAAGAATAATATGAACATGAGAAAAATTGGTTTAGAAAGAGGTTAAAAACCAAGCAGTTTTAAATATCCCAGTCCTGGGTTAAAATTACAAAATGTAAGTACTCAAAGGAATTTTGGAAATCTGGAGCCCAGTTGATGAAGTTATTTCCCAAAGATTACCCACTAAATATGTGTGTTGATAGAGTGATGATATTGCTTATCTAATGCAGTTGCTATGAATATTTATTGAGATCATACATATCAAGTTCTTGACTCTGTCTGGCACATACTATGTGCATAATAAATTATTATTATAGGTCATTAAATAACATTATTATTAAAACAGTGATGCACTTGGGCCGATATGTGTATTTAGTTTCCATTATTGGTAATGGGTAGTGGGCTTTTCTTAAAATCTCTATTTCCTAATTCTCTAGTGTTACAAAATAAGTTATTAGAAATTACTAGAAATGAGTCATTACTAGAAATAAGTTAGACTCTTAAATCATTATAGGCTAACTTCTGTTACAATTTTCAAATCTCAGTGACTTAGCATTATACTATTTTATTTCTTACTCACTGGGTTGTCCAATGTAGGTCTACAGTGAGTTTTCCGCCACATAGTTATTTGCTTTTCATTTAGTGGCTTCAATATCCGTTAGTGCCTTGGACTCTTACACTAGGTCCTTTGCATATGGCTGAGCCTGGAAGGTCATGCAGGTGGTTTTAGATGTCTGGCCTGGAAATAGTTTATGACACTTCTATTCACATTCCATTGAAGAGATTAAGTAAAGATCATATTTACTTCTATAAGTTATAGCTTAGAAATTTCCAAGTTTATTCATTAAAAGTATCACTGAAATAATCCATAAAATAGCAATTGTTGCCATTTAGGAAATTCATGCTTGCAGGTATCATATTTGCATGCTCTCATAGTTCAGTTTTCACTTAATTAAAAATTTGGAAAACTTCAGAAGTATGCATTGCAGTTTCTGAAAATCCATCAATGAGCAAAGTTCAAACATAAAATTGTCACTTTTTCAATGTGAACACATAATAGGTGGGCTGGGGAATATTGTTTAGTTCTCAAACCAGAATCAAAATGGGACTTTATGACCACATGGCATATACTGAATTATCTAAGATATAGAGTATAACACACTGACTCACATGGCAGAAAATAATCATTGATTTCAAAGCATTCCATCATTTGAGCCTCAGAGCACCAAAGTGACACTGGTGTATTTTATCAGTTGAAGAAACTAGATATAAGTCATTTTATCTAGAGGCTATGATTTCAGTTTCATTTGGTTTACATAATTAGCTAAATTACAAAAAATCCTTCCTGCCTTTTTTATGTATGCAAAACTAAGATTTCATAAATGTAATATTTTACAGAATATTCTTAAATACTTTTGTAGATATTTATTTATTTTTGCTTTTTAAATAAAATTCCAGTTTTGTTAGCATAATGTGACATTTAGCAGAATATTAACTTTAAAATATTAACTTTATTAATAAAAATATTATTGACTTTAAATTGTTTAATGCTTTAAAAATCCTGTCCTTAATTAATCTTAATGGCTTTCAGGAAAAATCTTCCCAAAATGGTAATACTATGCTCTAACTTTGTAGTTGATGGCCTTTAGGAACATTTATTTTCTAATTTTTAATTTTCTAAATTTAATTAAATAAAAATTAGATTATGAATAGCTTGAAAATTTGGTACCCATAAACATGAGTTGCTTAAATGGTAGTTATTAAAATGTTAATATGAATTATC